CCGGTGCGCATCAGGAAAACTGAACCGGACTGGAGCCGTGGGACAGGTCCCAGTCCTCTCGAAAGCGTCCCCACTCACGGCGTCGGCCGTTCGGGTCGTCATTCACGGCGCTCCGACATGGGCGCTGGTGGACACTGGTGCCGACTTCACCATGATGCGAAAAGGATTTTATGAGGGGAACCCAGCACTCAGAGCAATCCGGCTCAGCCCGAGCGCGCGCAATGCTATCGGAGCGGGAGGTACCTCCCTCCAGGTAGTTGGTGAGTTGGAAAACCTCTCATTATGCATTGATGGAGTCAGCTTCCGATGCCCGGTAGTGACCGTGGCAGACGACCTCGTGTACGACGTGATACTAGGTCGCGACTTCACGTGCATGCATCGCACGGTCATTGACGACGACGCTGGCTCATTCAAGATTGGAACCATGAGCGTTCCCCTGCCGAGCCGGGAGCAGGTTCGACCAAGACGAGCGCGAGTGCGATTACTGTCGAACGTCGTCATTCCAGCACGGTCAGAGAGCGTGGTAGCCGGAAAGCTGGAGAGAGTGGACGGCGTGCAGAGTGATGAAATGGGTGCAGCCGGGATATTCGAGCCATCAACCGTAGCGGAGCGGGAGGGACTCCTGACTCCAAGGGCTCTGGTCGTTGCAGACGACGACGGGTGCGTCTCGATCATTTTGACAAATGTTGGATCTGAAGAAGTCCGTGTCCTCAGAGGCAGTGACCTAGGGACATTTTATGATGCTACAAACGAGAAGGACTGCGAGTACAAGTTGTGCCTGGCTGCAGACGGAGGCGTTGAGGACAGTGATGATGATGACGTTGATGATGTGAGCTGCAGAACAGAAAGGCGTCAGAATACGACGGTGACAGAAGTACTTGATGTGGACGGATCTGACTTCTCAGCGGAAGGAAAGGAAAAGCTCAGAACCATTCTCAGCGAATATGCAGACATCTTCAGCCAGTATGCGGGTGATATCGGCAAGACAGATTTGCTCGAACACCACATCGACACAGGGGAGGAGGCTCCCGTGAAGCAGAGACCACGGCGGGTACCAGTTAAACTCCGCGAGCAAGTCGAGATGCAGAAGACGCAGATGATGAAAGATGGAATAATTGAAGAGAGTACAAGTCCGTGGTGCTCCCCAGTCGTCCTGGCCAGAAAGAAAGATGGAAGTTTCCGCTTCTGCGTCGATCTCCGCGCGATCAACAGCCGAACTCGCGGATGTGCGCATCCTCTGCCGAGGGTCGACGAGGCGTTGGATACCCTAGCGAGGGCGACGTGGTACACGACGCTCGACATGGCGACCGGTTACTGGCAGGTCCCGCTGGCCACAGAGGACCGAGAAAAGACGGCGTTCTCCACGGGCAAAGGACTCCATCAGTTCAGGGTGATGGCCATGGGTCTCAAAAATGCTGGAGCCACATTCCAGCGACTCATGGAACTGGTGCTTGCAGGTCTGGACTCGAAACGCTGTTTAGTCTACCTTGATGACATCATCATATCAAGCAGATCCGAGGACGAGCACATCGCAACGCTCCGTGATGTCTTCAAGCGAGTGAGGTCGGCGAAGCTGAAGCTCAAACCAGAGAAGTGCCGCCTCGCAAAGCGCGAAGTTACGTTCCTCGGTCACCGGGTCGCAAAGGAGGGACTCCTACCGGACCCACATAACATCCAGAAGATACTCGACTGGGCTCCACCGAAGACGGAAGATGGCATGAAGAGCTTCCTCGGATTGTGCGGATATTACAGCCGTTTTGTCCCACAATACATGGATCTCACGAAGCCGCTGAGGGAAGCCAAGGTGGTGGGTGACCACCTGACGTGGACGCCGGAAGCTGAAGCAGCTTTTGAGAGTCTGAAGCAGGCGCTGACTGCACCTCCAGTGTTAGCCCTCCCTACGTTCCGTGGTACATTCGTCTTGTACACGGATGCATCCGACTCTGCAGTCGGTTCAGTGCTCGCGGAGCGGGTGGGTGACACGGAGAGAGTCATCGCCTACGACAGTAAGGTGCTGACAAAGCAACAGCGCAGATGGCCAACATATGATAAAGAACTCTGGGCCATCGTTCACGCCATCCGGCGATTCAACCAGTACACAGTTGGAGCAGAATTCGAAGTCGTGACCGATCACAAACCACTCACGGGTGTACCGGAGTCCATCAATGTGGAACGTGACGGGACGGGAAGACGTGGCCGGTGGGCCATCGAGCTGAGCTCTTACCAGTTCCGGGTGGTTGTCCGGCCGGGCCGTGATCACGGCAATGCCGATGCGATGTCCCGGCAGCGACCAGTCAACGGCAATATCTGGACGGGCAAGCGCAGCAAGTCTTGTCCCGCCGAAGCCGGTCAAGCACCCGTGCATACCGCAGCTACAAGAGCCCAAGAACCTGCTTCTGGTGAAGAGGAGGAATGTGTGGGGAAGACTCGAGGCGCAGCAGAACTCGACCAAGTCTGCGCACTGCCTACTGCGCCACCTAGTGCGAAGGATGACCAGGCGGGACGCCTAATCACCGAAGCACCAGGACAATCGGAGTTGCAGACGGCGCAACAAGAGGACGAGGTCCTCAGTGTCATGCGGAACGCCTGTCTGGGCAGTCGGGAACCACCGCCCGATCACTCTCTCGCCGAGTGGGAGCTACTGCGTGGGAGCTGGACGCAGCTCGAAGTGCGGGAGGGCGTTCTCGGCATGAGGACGAAGTGGGGCTTCCGGGCCCTGGTCCCCGATTCGATGCGATCAAGAATCATGACGCTCGCCCATGACCATCCGACGTCCGCACACTTGGGACGGAGTCGAACAACGGAAAGAGTGCGACAGCGCTTCCTCTGGCCCGGCATGTTCGCGGACATCCGTCGGTACTGCAGCACGTGTGACCTTTGCCAACGGCGCCATCGCCCTGCACCGAAGAAACGGGCTCCTCTGGTGACGGAGGTCACGAGTCAACCATTCCGCAGAATCGCGATTGACATCACTGAGATGCCGGTGTCGAAGAATGGCAACCGATATGCAGTAGTCATCATGGACTATTTTTCTAAATACGTCCGAGTGTACCCAGTCAGACGGCAGGATGCCGAAACCGTAACCACGGTGCTGTTGGATTGGGTTTACGACATGGGGGTGCCAGACAGGATTCACTCGGACCAAGGAGGCCAATTTGAGTCTGCATTGTTCCAGTGCATGTGCAAGCGACTGGGCATCCAGAAAACGCGTACAACGCCCTATCACCCCGAGAGTGATGGTATGGTAGAGCGTTTTATGAGAACACTCAAGGACATGGTCGCCAAATACGTTGACCCTCAAGGAGCGAACTGGGACGCTGACATCAAGGCGTACTGCATGGCCTACAACACCTCTGTGCACAGCGTCACCGGATATTCCCCGTTCTTTCTGCTGCACGGATTCCACCCGAAAACGCCACTCGATGCGGTCATCAACCCTCCGGATCGGGCGGTAAACATCCGGTGCTACCTTGAAGAGCGTCTAAAGGCCATTTCAGAGGCTTATCAGACGACTATCAGGAAAACCCGGGCCAGTGCTACGGAGGCTGCGACCCGATTCAACCAGCGCGCGAGCGGAAAAGGGTTCGAGGCTGGTGACCGGGTATGGATTCGGGATAATAGGGTCTCGGTCGGCGGGAAGCCGAAGCTGGGACTGTACTACAAAGGCCCGGGCACCATCATCGGCCGCCTCGGAGGAGAGAGAGGAGTAACGTACCTCGTCCGTGACGACAAGGGCAAGGAAAAGGCTCTGCACTTCAACCAGCTAAAGCTAGCTGTGGAACGGGAGTCCCACAAACAGGAAACGTCTGGAAGCACCCGGAGGGACGACGCATCGGACACAGCCACAGAAACGCGTCCCAGGAAGCAGACGGGGTCCGAGGAGACTGGACCGGATCCACTGGCGTTGTACTACCTCTGCCGGCGGGCCCGAGATCAGGTGGGGAATGGGGGTACATCTGTGCGGGGCGCGTATGTGACCAGGTCTGGCAGAGTGTCGCTCCCCCCAGATCGTTTTCAATCCTAGGCCTCGGATGCTCTCGATGTGCATCACCAGTGTCTGAATCAGTTTGTATTTCCGGTCGCGTTCCGGTCGCGTAGTGTGTCGCGTTTCTTTGTTCTTGACCAAGTGGAAACGTTTCTTTTATGGGGGGAGGAGTGTTGGGATATTGTGACCGCGGACCGGCCGTGTGGGGCCGTGGAACAGGCTGGGTCGGCGGCCCGGCCGTCCGGCCGGCGAGCCGCCTGACCGCCGCGCGGTCAGCGCGCATGCGCTCTGTGCCGTGGTTATATAAGGGCGCGACCGTGACCGGACTGGGTCAGTCGGCGGGTCGCCGTGTCCGTGCTTGGTCTTCGGTCGCTGGAAGCACAATACACAGTGTCGTGGTATATGCAGCTTTACTTGGCCCTAACACTATGCCATCTCTCTGTCATGTCTTCGCCAGTTATGTCAAACATTATTTCTGCATATCAAGTAGGTCACTTATAAGGCCGGAACCATTGACCTATGATAAGTATAGGTCTTAAGGTCGTTCTCCACGGTACATGTTTTGCGCGTTTTAAATGACGTTTTAACGCTTTTTTTATGTTTTGCGAGTTTTTCATGATCCGGCGTTGATCTGTACCATTAAATTACACGGTGCCATCTCCACGACGGAAGATTTGTCAAAAATCGAAAAACGCGTGGCTTCATAAAATCAAAAAACTGCAAAACTCGTAAAACGCGTCAGTTGTGTCATGCAAAACTCGTAAAACCTTAAAAAAACGAAAAACTCTCATTTGTAAAAAGCGCGATTTTATCCAAACATTTGGATTGGATGAAAATTTTCCGGTTTTTGACAAGGCTAAGATACCTGAAATGGATGCAGAGGAAAGCGATGAAACACAATTTGAAGAAGCCAATGATCATGGTAAGTACTCAGACAATCATACCAATAACTTCTGTTGCTATTCCAACGATGTGGATGTCAAATAATTACATAGTGAGTCTATCATGGAACAGATATTACGATATCAGATCATTTCAGATAATTGATAATTAACTGATGTCATAGCGGTGATAACAATAGGGTAACGTGATGATACCCCTATAACTATCTTTACAGCGAAAATCGAAGCGTTAATAGAAGCCGTGCGCCAGATACCTGCCTTGTGGGACAAGAGGGCCACGGCATACAGCGCACGAAGGGCGGAGAAAGAAGTTCTTTGGCGTCGAGTGGCCACATCATGCGGTTCAATGATGACAGGTTTGTGACATGCCCTGGTGCCCTGTTTTTTATAGCAAGATTAAGGAGACCCAAAGCTATCCCGTTACATTTTTACACGATTCTTTGTGGGTAAGCTAGATGAAGCGATAAATGTCTAACGTACGCAATTAACAGGGCTAAAGCGATGTTTTTAATACACGCACTAGAGGAGAGGGGACGGCCCCTTCCTTCAGGGCGCGCAATTTTCAGACCTCCTCTGTCGGGACGTGTTTAAGACCCCAACTTATTCTGCTGCCGATACATCTTTTAAGTGGTAATGTTTGGAACAATTATTTCATAACTCATAAGGTATTGACACATATTTTGCTTTTTCGCATCAGGGTCAGAGGCTCAGAAGCTGTGGACGCGCACCAAGGCCTACTACCTACAGAGGTTGCGTATCCACGTCCCCAGCGGCAGTCCGGCTCCCGAGCACATCAGCAAGCTGGGACCGTATGGCAACCTGCTGCAATTTCTGCAGCCGGTGACGAAGCGTGGCAAGTGAGTTTGCCTGTCCCGTAGCTAAGTTGGTAGAGCACTGGACTCCCAGTAGTGAGAGCCCGGGTTGACGCTCCGGCGCTCGATATTTGAGGCTCCTGACGGGGATGGTCTACGGTTGATGGGAGCAGCCGTAGCCAGTTGACTGTTGAAGTCAGTTGAGTGGGACGGGCCGTGTCCGGCTTTGAAGGGCAGGGTAAACTTTGGCGTATAAATTCTCCCGATACCCGGAATTGCGCGATCGGACGGTAGGGGTCGGGGTCTACGCAACAAGCTCTGCTTAGCGTGGACCCCGGCTCTGTCAGTCCGTCCATTCAGACATTCGAGCTAAATGATAAAAAAATACTAGGTTTTCGAAATGTACCGTCTTAAAAACTTCATTTTAATAAAAATAAGAAATAGTTACCTACAGGTATAACTACTGACTGAAACGCAACCACTGAACTAATCATATTGAAGCTGTGTAACTAGAAAGTTTTAAATCAAAATGCCTTTTTATAAAAAAAAACTTTTTCGTTCCAGGAACGTCTCATCGGCGGGGTTCAGAAACCAGCAAGAAAGCCCAGGTCACGCTGGAATGCAACATCAGTCGGCAGCTTCATCTACATCAAGCTATGTATTTGACAGTGTGGATGATTTCTTGGCGCAGCTGCAGTTCTCCGGCTCTGCGCAGAGCGGAAATACGAATTCCGATGCTGACTTAACCTCATCTCCAGCCCCGGCACAGGCACCAGGTCGAACGCTGACCCAGTCTCCGGCACCGGCACCGGCACCAGTACCACCACCACCAGCACCGACGCCGGCGCCAGCGCCGGGACCAGCACCAGTACCACCAGCACCGACGCCGGCACCAGCGCCGGGACCGGTACCAGCACCGACGCCGGCACCAGCGCCGGGACCGGTACCAGCACCGACACCGCTACAGGCACCGGTCAGAGCACCAGCACCGGCCTCGACCCCGGCACAGGCAGTTCGTCAGCAAGGTTTAGGGCGCAGGAGGCGCCGTGGAGAGGGTGACGAATCCGTCGATGGACGGATTCTAGAGGAACTGGCGCATGGACGACAGGAGATAAGAAACAGAAACAGGGCATTCGGAGCATATGTGGGTGCTGAACTAGAGTCGCGTGATGAGGCCGCAGCCAAACGCCTACGCCGCGCTATCTTTGAGCTCTTGCAAGAGTAAAAACGAAAATGTGACAGCTGATTTTTTTTAAACAATGGGAGTGGTTGAGTTGCGGTTGAGTTGTGTTTATTGTTCTGACATTGCAATGTCATGCGTGAGACCTTTATATTTCACACAAAAAGTTTCATTGCTACGCAAGCAAATAAATAAGTCGATGATGCATTTGCACCCATGTTCACTATGCTTCTATGCACATGTCGGCTGCGTGCCTCTTCTGTTTGTTCAGCAGTTGGCTGCACGATCGACACGAGCCTGTTGCCATGGCACACTCCCCACCCCGTTGAAGAAGGTGACGAAGCCATCACGCACCAGAGCCGCTTGCCTGGTATGGTTTCTCGCCGATCCTGGATCGTGGATGTCGGTCAGTCCAGCCACCTCTCCTGGCTCTTCGGCTCCCAGGAAGCTATATGAGCCAGGTTGTGACGACTGCCGTTCCATATCTTTCTTGCGGAGATAATTATGCAGGGCACACGTGGCCAGCACCAGCAGCTTGGCCATCTCCAGGCTGCACGTAATGGCCCCGCGGTAGATCCGCCACCGCTGTGCCAATATCCCGAAGGCGTTCTCAGATGTCAGCCGGGCGCGACTCATCCTGTAGTTTGCGATGCGGCGCTCGTTGGTTAATCTGACACACGGGAAAGGCCGCATCATATAAGGTCGCAAAGGAAATGCTTCATCGCCGACCAGCACATGAGGCATCGGCGTGTCTGTACCAGGCAGAGGCTCCGGCTCGGGCAGTACCGCTGGACCGCCGTGCAGCTGTTCCTCCAGCATGATGCCTAGGTCGCTAGCGCCCCATATTCCTCCATCGCTCTCCTGGCCGTTGCTGCCGACAGTCACGTATGTAAACCGATAGAAGGCATCGACGACAGCCATCAACACAATACTACAGAAACCTTTATAGCACCAGTTGATGGAGCCACTATTCGCCGGCTTTTGAATCATAACATGTTTGCCATCGACGGCTCCACAGCAGTTGGGGAACTGCCACACATTCCGGAATTCACGGGCACGCTGGTGCCACTCTGCGGTGGTTGGAAATGCCATGACCTTTGGCCCCAGCTCGGACCACAAAGCTGCGCAAACCTCACTGATTATTTTCGGCACGGTGGCACACCCGATCCGGTAGGACTCCGACACCGTCTTCATTGAACCACCGGCTGAAAGGAATCGGAGGGTCACTGCCAGTCGCTCCCCCGGAGAGATGGGTTCACGCATACACGTATGCTGTTTTCTTATCTTGTCTTGAACCAAGGCCAGGAGCTCATCGAAGTCAGCAACGGACATCCGGAAGTAGCGGAGATGGGCTGATGGATCGGCTGCTCTCATCTCTTGCACCAGAGTATGGTATTCTCCAACCTGGTCAGGACGAAGAAGTATGGGTCGTACCCAGCAGACTCTCTTTTGTCTTCGTCGCTGCCGAACTCTCCAGAGCAGAAGCAAACGAAGAAGACGGCTTCGTTCAGGATCCATCAGTGTTGCACTAAACACAATATAGATATACGCCTACCTTTAATGTAAATTAATAGGTCAAACAAACCTACGTCCAACCTTCTCCCATATAGCCTACAAACTGACAAACTAAAAACCGTAAAAAGCGCAAAACTCGCAAAACTCGCAAAACTCGCAAAAGCGTCTGTTAAAAAGCGAAAAAAGCGCAAAACTCTCGTTTGCTAAAACGCGTAAAAACCGAAAATTTTTGCACGTGGAGACAGTACTTTATAGTTATACTTATTATAGGTCAATGGCCGGAACACGGCTCTTAAGCGTGCAAAACGCATCTCCGCACTTCCCATTGGAATACATATGCCATGTATTCCAATGGGAGGTGCGAAGACGCGTTTTGCACGCTTAAAAGCTGTGTTCCAGCCTGTCACTTGGTGCTAGTTGCGTTGCTTGGTCCAATTGGTTTGATTTGAAAGGCTAGGTTCAGTGGGGTGACAAAAAAGTCGACAAAATAGCCAGGCTCTGTGGAGGAGATTGCGGACCCCCCCCCCCTCTAAACAAACGCAGATAGACGGTGACACAAGCGCCAAGTATCATCCCTTTGTTTTAACATTGGGCGCATACATGACGGTGAATCGACGAAAAAAGAGAAATTTAACAAATCATTACGCATGCTTGCGCAGCATTACATAATGTGACACTGAAAACACAAAATTCATGTCATACTCACTTAAAACCTTGCCACTTCACTTCATACATCTGGCAGCTTGAGTCACATGCGATGATGAACTCAATGAAAAAAAAAAACGCTCCTGCAAAGAACAGATTAGGCAAAGTTAATGAATTGCGAAACTAACACACTTGTTTAATGTTAGGCATGACACGACATTCATGTATTAAAGGGACTATCCCACCTTTAACATGGGGTTTGAGTTGAGATAGCCAAGTTTGCGGCGAGGTTCAGAAACCACTATCTATCTAGGTTGCAACCCCCGCGGCCTCTTGGTGTTGAAGTTGAAGAAATTCGTTCCCTTCATTTGAAAATGGGCCTTGTACAAGGTCCATCTTCAACATGGAGCGACCGTTAGTGTGACGTCACCTCGTTTAGTCATTCTGATTTAAATGGGTTTGTTCGTTGAAAAATCGCTTAAAACTTGGTCTGAACTCTGTTGTGGTGCCTACAGGGTAAAAAGAATCAGCTTTATGACAGTAATGTGGCCTGGGGAAGGAGATAATTTTGGGCTGTGACGTCACATATTTGAAAGTTTGTGTTAGGAATATGGGAAGCCTAAGATGTTTAATGAAAAATAAATGTCAGAACCGTGTTCCTGGTCATCCAATCTATAAAGTCGGGCACAATTTAACTGGTTTTAACAACATTTTAGAAGGTGGGATAGTCCCTTTAAATTCAGACCGGTTTCGAATCACAAGATTCATCTTCAGTGACAAAACTCTTTTCAAATTGATACAGGACACATATTCAAACACACCTTTGATCATAAAATATATCGCACACGCACATGCAATAGTTTGAGTTCAGCTTCGAATTAGAAAACTGCCTAATGCAATTAAAAGTACAATGACGTATACACAACGAAACAGCTACATAAAAGTACCCAGCTAGGCAGTGATATGTAGTGGATACGCCGAGGACATGTCGTTGATTTGCGGCCTCAGACGATGAATATACAACGATTCCAGAATTCTTAAATCAGGGTATGTACTGCTCAGGGTATCATCATATCATCATAAATCAGGGTATGTACAAAATTTGAAAGTCGTCTATCCCTAGTGATGATTGACATGACAAGGCATGGTGTCTGATGGATGATGCTGAGGGAGATGACAGTCGTTGATCTGTACGATGTGACTTGCCTAAGTGCTGAGCTACTCTGGTGTACAAGCGTTGGTAAGTGGAGCCAACGTATGACGCCTGGCATGAGGCGCAACTATATTTGTAAACCACACCAGAGATGCTCGACTTGGGCAGTTTATCCTTGTAGCGAAACATAGATCCTATGGTTAATCTGTTACGTAATACTATTTTTGGGTTCAAATATGGGTAAAACTTGCTGAGAACTTCTAGAACTTCTTTTTGCATTTTAATGGACTGTTCCCCAAAGTATGGGAGCACTAAGTATTTCTCGAGTTTGTTGACAGTGACAGAGCTTTTTATTTCCTCAAAGCTCTGTCACTGTCAACAAACTCGAGAAATACTTAGTGCTCCCATACTTGCATATTTACGTCTGGACAACGAGTTGCGGGGAAAAGTGCTGATTTTGTCGCAGTTTTAGGAGTCGGTGATAAGGCTGGATTTTTAGGTTACTTTTTCGTTCCGATTCCTGTATTTCATAGTGTTTAGCTCTTGAATATTTTAGTTCTCTCAGAAAAATATTACTTGCCTAATAGATTTGGTTAAATTGTTTCATTTTTAAAAGCCGACCGCAAGAGTCATAAATCAATACATCAGCACTACAATTATTGTAAGCAAACAAATGGAGCACCGCTTGGCTCTGTTCCAAGGCCTTTTTCAAGTTCATCTGGTGTTTTCGTACTCGTGTGTACGTCGTTTTGTTGGAAGTTTTGGATCCCTTGTGATTGAATTATATCATATTAAAGAAACATGTTGACTGAAAACAATTCCAAGTATCCAGGAGGCTAAGGCTCCAGAGGCCTGACTCCTGAGCCCTGAGCGATGTCAAGTTGAATTTAGGAAATGTTGATTGATGAAAACGCAAGTTGGTCTGGCTCACTTATCACTTATCAGCAAGAAAAAGTAAAATTAAAAGAGCTTATTGGCCAAATACAAGCTATACTATTGCAGGAGATCAATACTGAAGAGCACGCTGAGCAATATCAAGCCAGAAAATGCTGGCTGACGAACGCGTATTGATGGATTGGTGTGAATATTGAATTATAACTTACAACAGCAAGATTAATTTGTGCTAACTATCAAGTGAAAAATCTAGAATGAATGAACTCGGGAAGCTTTGCTTTGCAGAATGGTAATGTCGTAACGTGCATTGCTCAGTGCCTGGCAAATGAAACACAATCATTCCAGTGCTTGTTACTGGAGGAGACAGCTTGCCGCTTGGATCACTAACTTAGCTTAATGTTTAATTTGATGTTCATCATTACTTTGCATTTCTTGAAAAAAGGATTTAAGAAGAATTGTCAATGTGACAAATAGGCAATCCAAATCCATGCAACGATGTGATCGTATGATGTGTTCATAGTCATTAGTGATTACTGGTTCAATATACAATAGCAAAGCTGTCAGGCGTCAGCATTTCTTTCTGTGGATGGCCAGAAATGACTCAGAACTTAGAAGTATTATTAGTTTTCTTCACAGGGCTGGGATAAAAAGTACTGAGGGTAATCTTCCAGCAAGGAACTTTATAGTTTATTTTGATTTGGTATGAGATGTAGGCAAAAGTAGGTAGGTACTTAGTCATATAGCTAGTAGTTGTGTAGGTTAGTTGGGTGCTCTTAGATTAGGCTGTTAGTTTTTAACCCGCGCCCTGCTGGGGGGGGGGTGTTTGAACACCCCCCCCCCTGTGGTTTTTCGCGAATATCTCAAAAACGGCGGCGCGGAGCGCCGCCGTTTTTGGTACACCTTATCATACATCAATTCTACACATGTTGTGAAAATTTCAGACCAAGGTCATTCAAGGTCAGGTCACCAGGTCACTCGAAGTGACCTCACCTCATAAAAA